TGGCTCAGGCAATCCTCTCACCTTGGCCTCCCAAAGTGCTGGGATTACAGGCATGAGCCACTGTACCCGGCCCAGATATTTCTTTCAAGCTCTGATTCCTGCCACGGTTGAGAATCACTGGTCCAATCCATCAAATCATACCATGTGCATCAACTATTCTCTTTCCGTCACGGCAAGTGAGTTAATGAAAATTTTCTTCGATGTACACTATGCTTGCAGAAGTACCTCGTGGGTTTCATCATCTGGTTAAGATACAGAGTTTTTTTTGTGTGTGTTGGAGTCTCACTCCATCACCCAGGTTGGAGTGCAGTGGCATGCTCATGGCTACTGCAACCTCAACCTGTTGGGCTCAGGCGATCCTTCTGCTTCAGCCTTCCAAGTAGCTGGAACCACCGGCACACACCACTACACTCAGCTAATTTTTTGATTTATTCTAGAGATGAGGTCTTGCCAAGTTGCCCAGGCTGGTCTCGAAGCTGTGGGCTCAGGCAATTCTCTCACCTCGGCCTCCCAAAGTGCTGGGATGGTAGGCGTGAGCCACCGCACGCTCCCAGCCAAAATACAGTTTTGTTAAGAAGGCCCGCAGTACTTAGACCACGATTTAAAACCAAACGTCTGTTTTTTTTCCCCATAAAATTAAACAGCAAGAGCCTCAAGGCGAACACGCGGCTTTACCCGATTCCTCCTGCTCGTTGACGTCTTGAGGGTCAGAACCGCTCCGGCTTCGACACTCCCTCTGCATCTTGGCCTTCCGGGTGGCCATCTCATCGTCGGTCGCCTCTCCACTCTCGCCCTGCGGACACAAAGCTCAAGATGCCTCTGAGCCCTTGTTTCCCTCCCCCTTCCCTCCTTCCCTCAAGTGCAGGCGGGTCTCTATCTTCTGCCCCACCCTCACCACCGCCTCCTGCTGGGGCAACCGGTGAAGGCCTAGGTCAAGGCCGTCCGAGAATTCCCATGTTGTATGATCTCCTTTGCGCTTCGCTCTAAAGCAGCACTGTTCGGGGAAGGAAGCAGACACGGGGAGGCCACAGCCTCTGGAATCTCGGGGTGCAGATGGAATTGTGAAGCCGATCAATTCCGATGTCAGCACCAAAGTCTAGGCAAAGAATGGGTCTTCTTCTACAGAGCCATGGGTCAGATCTATGATGCTGTTTATAGTGAGAATCTATGTCCATGGGTCAGATCTATGATGGGTCAGATCTATGATGCTGTGGGTCATAGATCTATGATGCTGTTTATAGTGAGAATTTATGTCCTGTCATGGCATTTATAACATGGAGTGCTACTATATTTTATTTGTTTGCTTATTTATTTATTTGAGTTGAAGTCTCACTCGGTCGCCCAGGCTGGAGTGCAGTGGCACACTCATGGCCATCCCAGCGTCGACCTGCTGGGTTCCGGCGATCCTTCTGCCTCAGCCTTCCAAGTAGGTGGAACCACAGGCGTGCATCACCACACCTGGCTAATGTTTTAAAAATTTATTGTAGAGATGAGGTCTCGCCAAGTTGCCCAGGTGGGTCTCGAACCCGCGGGCTCAGGCAATCCACTCCCCTCGGCCTCTAAAGTGCTGGGATGACAGGCTGAGCCACCAAGCCCAGCCGTGCTACTCTATTTTAAACCATGCTCTGTGCGTAGCATGTTAGCCCTCAAAGACCTCTGCTCTTTTCTCTCGCCTTTCTTTGCCCACCAGGGTACTCATGCTCCAGCCGCCCAGAACCTGTATGTACTTCCTTGAACAGGCCAAGTCTTTTATGCCTCTGTGCTGTCTTCTCTGTTGTCTGCCTGGTCAACTCCTATACACCCTTCAAGACCTATCCACCCATGACAGTGTGAAACCTTCCCTGATTATCTCCCTCTCTGCTCTGTATTTTCCTTCTCTCTTCTCCCATAAGACGTTGCAGATGACTCAACGATGACTTATTTAGATTGCACTGTTTGTTTCTGTATCTATTTTCTACTATGGGCCCTGTCTTTTCCCTTGTGTTGTCTCAGTTCCTGATCCTGCCCTGGCAATGTGACAAGCCCTTAGATCTTCTGTTGTGTCCCTAACTTTGTCCCCGCCAGATGACCTCACAGGGTTTATGGTGACGGCAACCATACGACGGTCCTGGGAGGTTGGGTCTGATGCTTAATAAGCAAATAACACTCTACCCTCATGAGGATTTTCTTCTTTTTCTTGGTGGTGCTTATGCCCAGGGTATTGTTTCTCTGCATACTGGGCTTCTCAGCGTTCTTTGCTGATGTCCCCGGGCTGGGGTTCCGAGTGCTCCATCGTCGGCCACCAAACAACTCCACAGCGTGAGCCAGTGTGGGACCTTCGTACCGTCCATCCTCCTGGAAGAGAACCACAAGCCGGACACTTAAGGAAGCAGCAAGCAGCGGGGAAGCCGTTGTTAACGGCTCCCCGTAAATTCTCAGAGATGGAACAGGACAGACAGCCATGGAAGAGTCATGATCCGGCCGCCCAAGTGGCTCTGTTCTCTAACTTTCAAGATTTCTTTTGGGGAATTTCATGTGTCCCCTGCTGTCCTGGCCACATCCCTGCAGAGTTCCGGTGACTGGCTTTAACACATCCACTGGGGAACAAACATTTCCCATCCCAGTACCAGAGGTTATATTCTAGAACCACTACAGGAGGAAAATTCATCAAGAATTCACGCCACCACTTGTACATACCTAATCCTGAATTGGACCCCACAACTTTATTTTTTTGAGTTGACGTCTCACTCTGTCACCCAGGCTGGAGGGCAGTGGCACGCTCCCGGCCACCACAGCCTCGACCTGCTGGGCTCCTGCGATCTTTCCGCCCCAGCCTTCCAAGTAGGCGGAACTACAGGCATGTGCTACCACACCTGGCTAATATTTTATTTACTGTAGAGACGGGGTCTTGCCAAGTTGCCCGGGCGGGTCTCGAACACGCGGGCTCAGGGAATCCTCTCGCCCTGGCCTCCCAAAGTTCTGGGATTACAGGCTGAGCCACCGAGCCCGGCCTGTACCCCACATCTTTGAAATAAAATTTAAAAAAAGAATTAGCTCCAAGGCAAATTAGGGCTTTGGAGGTCTTGGGGTGGGGAGTGGGGTGCACATCTATTTAAGTACAGTCAAGTCCCATGTGTTGGGGCACCAGGCCAGGTAGATTTTCATCTCGTTTGATGCCTGCAGACTGACTTGAGATATAGAGTATGTGGAATGCATGACATTTGCTTGGCAGGGCTGGGGAGATCCTCAGATAGGTGGCTGCCATCCTCTTGAACGGCTAAAATCCAAAGATGGAGAGCCCACGGGACTCAGAACACCAGGCACATTATGATGCCGTGAGCAGTGAAACACACTCATGGGGCAGGTAGTGGTTTACACCAGCTGCTGCGTAAAAGGCTACTCCGCGTAACAGCCTGCAAGTGAGTAACAGCAGGGATTTATTCATTAAACTACAGTCAGCGAGCCTCCCCACAAGCCAGCTAATAAAACCACACAAAGTTGCATGCCAATAGAAGACAGTATTGCTATTTCACACATTGTATAATAGGGCTCTTTGAAAATTAATCTCTCCTTACTGTCTTTACTCTCCGAAGACTTTTTTTTTTGAGTTGGAGTCTCACTCTGTTGCCCAGGCTGGAGTACAGTGACACGCTCACAGCCACCGCAGCCTCATCCACCGGGCTCAGGTGATTCTTCCTCTTCAGCCTTCCAAGTGGCTGGAACCACAGGTGTGCGCCACCACATCTGGCTAATTTTTTTAAAATTTATTGTAGAGATGAGATCTCGCCAAGTTGCCCAGGCTGGTCTTGAACCCCTGGGCTCAAGCAATCCTCTCGCCTCAGCCTCCCAAAGTGCTGGGATAACAGGCATGAGCCACTGCACCCGGCTCAAAGACTCTTAAGGCTAGTCCTCTTTTGAAACTCCAAAGAAGTGCTTGTGAAAGATTTTGCTTTGTTGCAGGTCACGCACAAAGAAGAAAGGGGCTGTGTGTGTGCTTACTCCTTCATCCTAATGAATAACTGAGTTTATGGCTTGTGGGTCTCCACTTCCGGGACCCTGTTATGGATCCCAGGAAGCTGAGTAACTTGGATACTTGATCTAGAAATCTTTTGGTTACTTCCTGTAGTGGGACAGCTATAACTTATGCCTGTCCATTATCTATCTCTCGCCTCTCTAACCATACCCTCATTTCACTTGAACTGTCTCTTTTCCACTGGATACAGTCTTGGGGGTCTGTCAATCAAGGTGGACTATCCTCCCTTGACCAATGACTGGCACATGATTTCAATAAGCCAATCAGAGTCTCCCTTCTTGGGACAGGACTCTTGGATGCAGTAATGCAGAGAAGGAAAATGACTGGAGACCATTTGCCTGCTGAAGACAGTCCCTGCTAAGAAGGCCCTATGGGTGGTTCCAAATTGGAACACACATTTCATGACAGAATTTAGTGAGTAGGTTTTAAGCACATTATTGAACAATGCGCTCTGAATATGAAGGTTCTGTAAACATTTTATTTATAAATTTTAACCAACACAACTTAAAAAATTTGGCAGATCCATTACAGTTTATGCATAAAAGAATCAGTGCCATAAACATCTTCTGTGTTTTGGTTTTGTAAATTTCAGAACTTCCCAATATGGGCTACGCCTTATCCCTAGCAGGAATTAGTTTAGGCCAAGAAAAGGCAGGGTGCTTTTTAAAAAATCTTGATTGATTGATTGATTGAGTCAGAGTCTCACTCTATTGCCCAGGCTGGAGTACAGTGGCACGCTCATGGTCACCGCAGCCTCGACCTACTGGGCTCAAGTGATCCTTCCGCCTCAGCCTTCCAAGTACCTGGAACTATAGGCATGCATTACCATGCCTGGTTAATTTTTATTTTTCCTTTTTAAATTTACAGTAGAGACAAGGTCTCGCCAAGTTGCCCACGCTGTTCTTGAACCCCTGGGCTCAGGCCATCCTCTCACCTCAGCCTCCCAAAGTGCTAGGATTATAGGCGTGAGCCACTGCGCCTGGCCTGTTCAATCTTTAAAAGAAACTTTCTGGGAACTTAAATGTAATTCGAATCTTTATTTTGCTTTACACAAAATAATAAACTTGTTTGGGATGGGTGAAGGATATACTTCTTCCCTGTGGGAGAAGGACTTTTGTGAGGGTCGGCGTATTCTCAGATTTAGAGAAAAGTTCATGCAGAAGTCAAAGATTAAGAAATAGATTCCTTAAAAAATATCCACGCACTTTTACCTCTTGGTATATCTTTACATATGACATTTCACAGACCGTTAAGCTAATTTGCATCCTTTGAATACATCTTTCTCCACCCTGAAGATACTCAGAATCTGTTTCTGTTGCTTCAGCCAACGCTGAAGGCTGCTGGGTACATGAGAAACCAAGTACATCTTATGTGTTGATTCAGTTACTTATGCTGTAGGCTTGAGAGAGAGACCACAGCAGCAGCTAAACCACATAGGCCTTGTGACAGAAATTGGAACTGAGCTCAAACAAAGACTTTAGTTTATGTCTGTGCTTGATGGAGTTTCCTGATTCTAGAAGGCTGAGGAATGACCCTAACCCTAATAATAATCAATATTCCTGATGGCTCCTGAAGCCCTTTCTTCCAAGGAGCTGACTGCACTGAAAACTCCTTGTGAAGTGTCGAGGAAGCAGGCATTTTGGTTTCCCATTCACCTTATTTTTAAAACTTAATTTTCAATTTTATTTTTATTTGTTTTATTTATTTATTTTTTGAGTTGGAGTCTCACTCAGTCGCCCAGATTGGAGTGCAGTGACCGCTCCCGGCCACCGCAGCCTCGACCTGCTGGGCTCCGGTGATCCTCCCGCCTCAGCCTTCCGAGTAGCCGGAATTACAGGCACGCGCTACCATGCCCAGTTGATTTTTTTATTTATTGTAGAGATGAAGTCTCGCCAAGTTGCCCAGGTGGGTCTCGAACCCGCGGGCTCAGGCGATCCACTCACCTCAGCCTCCCAAAGCGCGGGATTACAGGCCTGAGCCACCGAGACCGGCTCAATTTTATTTTTAATCGAGACAAGGTCTCGCTATGTTGCCCGGGCTGGTCTTCAACTCCTGGGCTCAAACAATCCTCCTGCTTTGGCCTCCCAAAATGCTGGGATTACAAATGTGAGCCACTGCGCCCGGCCGGTTTCCATTTTAGATGACTTCACTAAAACTGGCTTTGTGCCATGTAACATGAGCACAATCATGGATCTAGGCCTCTCTGCTTATGAACGAATTCACCACTTTAGTTAATTACTGCCTGGGTATGGGGAGAGGGAAGAGAAGGCGCGTTGTATACGCCTCAACTAACTTCCGGGCGGGTCGTGGCAAGTGTTTCTAATTGTCAGAAGCATGTCAGAACTGTGAAAAGCACATAAAATCAACCATTTGAGTAGTTCTATTTGTTTACCAATAAAAACGATAATTTTTTTGCCATTAAGATAGAAAAGCTTAGCCAAGAAAAATGGAATTCTTTGATACAACTCCTTTGACAATGCCACTTCAACAGTGTCACCTGGTGGTGGGAATAAGACTCAGTTTCCATAAGCATGCTACTGTGGTCATGCCTGTGTCTCATGTCACCATTTCCTTCGGCCCAGCCCTGTTGCCACCTTAGCCGTAGTGGTAAAGGACCTGATACTTTAGGTTTAAAGAGAAACTCATTCAATGTGAGCAGCTGGCTAAACACAGCCCACGAAGGGCTGTCGCCACTACAGATCTGGTGAGGAAAAACTCCATGTTCGAATTATCCCATCTTTGGGAAAGTTTCTTTTAGCCTTAAGAGTCCTACCTAAATTAGGCACCAATATGCAGTAAGTTAAATAATTTTCTAAGAGTCACACGCATGTTAGGTGATAAACAGGATTTCAGTCTCTAAAGGAAATGTTTCCAACGTATCAGCGATCCCCAATGATCAAGCATTCAGATTACAATGCTTTTGATTAAGGGCCGGCAAGGTAGGTTATGCCTGTAATCCCAATACTTTGGAAGGCTGAGGTGGGAGGATCGCTTGAGGCCAGGAGTTGGAAATAAGTCTGGGCAACAAAGTGAGACTCTGTCTCTCTCAAAAAACAAAACAAAACAAACAGTGCTTTCAATAGAAACCTTGAGTAAGTGAAAATGTTTACATTGCTAGTTTCTTTTCAGATGTGAGAACTACAATGACCATGGTCACTATTTACATACAAAGTAATAATAGAATTTATTATAAGCAGAAACTATTCTTTTTCTTTTTCTTTCTTTCTTTTTTTTAGAGTTGGGGTCTTACTCTGTCACCTAGGCTAGAGTACAGTGGCACAATCATGGCTCACTGCAACTTCCACCTCCTGGGCTCAAGTGATCCTCCCATCTCAGCCTCCTGATGAGCTGGGATTACAGGTTTGTGTCATCAGCCTATTTTTATTTTTGTGGGATGAGGTCTCACTTTGTTGCCTTGGCTGGTCTCAAACTCCCGGCCTCAAGCAATCCTCTGCCTTGGCCTCCCAAAGTACTGGGATTTCAGACATGAGCCACCTCGCCCACCGGGCTATTCTTTATATATCTGAATTTACACTGTGACTTTACACATATTAACTCAGCTAATGCGGCAACCCTATGAAAAGATGTTATTATGTCCATTTTACAGATGAGGGAACTGAGGCACTAGAGGTTAAGTAAAAGCTGCCCAAGTTCACACAGGTAGTAAGTGGCCGAGCTGGAAGTATGAACCTGCCACGTGTGTGCTCTTGAGAATTACACTACTGGGGAAAGGGGCTTTTGTAGAGACGAGGTCCCTTACCTGATAGAGGCTGACATACTGTTTCCGCAGCCACTGCTGTCTTTGGTCAGGGAACCTCCTCATCTTTCTCACAGCTCTAGTGAGTTCCAACAACCCGCTGAAGAGCATTTTAGCTGTGTGCTTTGGTGCCACGAAGTGCAATAATCTGTTGTCCGTGGTCTGAAGCCCGTAGAGCAGTGTCACACCAGTCTCTGACAGAAACATGCTGCCCAGTTTGTTCTGAACACACACAGTGTGTATATCAATGCCAGGGTGTCCCATGTACACAGCCTTCACTGAAAACAGATCCAAGACCCCTTCCACCAGGCCACTCAGTCCAGCGTTGCCCAGTAATGGGAATTTTCCAGGCTCGGCTGAGTTACTTAGCGCACCAAGTTTGGCTTTAGCGCCAGCTGGGGTGGCCGTGGTGGGCTTCGTCCAGGTCAAGGTGCTATTGTCTGGCTGAAGCTGGAGGAAGCAGCGGGCAGACAGGTGCGTGTCCTGGTCATAGTGGATGACCGTGGCGCCCTGCAGCAGGAACTGGTGCACATCGGCTTGGATGGACAGCACATACCAAGGGATGAGCTCGGTCCCGTGGTTGAAGGCCTTCTGTGAGTCCTCTGACGCGTGGGAGTCATATTCTTTGGACTGCTCAAAGATGTCGTTTTCTGAATCCAACAAATCTCCAATGATAAACCTGATGGAAAGAGACCCACATTTTGTCTGTCTTGTCATCGTAAGTGAGAACAACCCAAAGCCTTTCAATGACACTGGACTTCATTTTTCCTCTTGTTATGAATTCAAACGAGCATAGGACATATACAATGCTAGACATGACAGTAATTTTGTATAGCTGTATTCTAAAAACATATACTTAGAAAGATGTCTGACCATAGGCATAAGAAAAGAACTGCTAGACGAGTTGCCGTATTTTTATGATCAAAAACAATAATTGTTATTTTCCACTTGTGTTAGGAGCTGTTAACTACTTTCCACACACTTTTGCACTAAATACAACCTACTTATAAAGTATGTTTTACTATTCTTTTTTTTTTAACCTACGAGGAAACTGAAAGGGAAAGTATCTTACTCAAGGTTACCTAGTTCAGAAGAGGCTTAGCCAAGGCAAGATTCCGGTTTGTCTAATTTTATAACCTGGGATCTTCATCAGCAGGCCTGTTTACCTTCCATTTAAATCATAAACAAAAGTCATAACCTAAATACACTGGGCTAAAATAGATGAAAACAAGACTTAATAGGCTGGCTTGAGAAGTACCTCTATTAAAAATAAAACACAAAGCCAGGCTCCGTGGCTCATGCCTGTAATCCCAGCACTTTGGGAGGCTGAGGCAGGAGGATTGCTTGAGACCAGGAGTTCAAGACCAGCCTGGCAACATAGAGAGACCCTATCTCTACAAAAAAATTAAAAGAATTAGCTGGGCATAGTGACACGTGCTTGTAGTCCCAGCTACTCGGGAGGCTGAGGAGGAAGGATCACCTGAGCCCGGAGGTCAAGGCTGTGGTGAGCCATGATCGTGTCACTGCACTCCAGCCTGGGCGACAAAGTGAGACCCCGACTCAAAATAAAATAAAATAAAATACGATTAGTTCAAAAGACACCCACTGGGAAATACGGTCATGGTGGTCAGATAGGCACAAACGGTTCTCATGGCATCCACCTTGGATTTTCCCTCCGCATGTGTGTGCGTGCTTGTGTGTATATATGTGTGTGTGCATGTGTGTGCGTGTGTGTGTGTGCGCGCGTGTGTGTATGTGAGTGCGTGCCTGGAATAGTTAGCAAGTTCCCTTTTCTGAGTCAAGAACCTGGATTATTAGAACCAGGAGGATATGAGGGAAGGCAAGGATGACGTTATGGCCTCCTTTCTATATGGCCACCTGGGCAGGAGACTCATTCTCCTAAGAGACTCATTCTCCTTATGGCCTAAGAAGTTGTTAGTAAGACTAAGGTTTTGCTGTTTGGTCAGCAGACATCACTAGCAAAGCATGGATAAAGTTGTAGAGAAACTGGCCCCAATGTCTCTAGGAAGAAAGGCTCCCACTCTCTTGAGGCTCCTGGCAGCCTCCTGCCCCCTGACAAGGCAATGACAGCAGCACTTGGCCTGTCGGACCCTCCTCAGTCCAGGTTGTGGTCCTGGAACAAGATCGCCATTTCCGCTTTCAGTCAGCAGGTTCATTCTCCCTGCCCCACACCATGGATATTCTTTTTTTTGAGTTGGAGTCTCACTCTGTCGCCCAGACTGGAGTGCAGTGGCTGCTCCCGGCCACCGCAGCCTCGACCTGCTGGGCTCCGGCGAGCCTTCCGCCTCAGCCTTCCGAGTAGCCGGAATTACAGGCACGCGCTACCACGCCCGGCTGATTTTTTGATTTATTGTAGAGATGAGGTCTCGCTGCCCAGGCGGGTCTCGAACCCGCGGGCTCAGGCAATCCACTCACCTCAGCTTCCCAAAGGCGCGGGATTACAGGCTGAGCCACCGAGCCCGGCTGGATATTCTTTTTTAAAAAAGTCTATTACAAAATTGAATTTTAGCATCTAAAATCTGATGGTCAGAAGATCCTTTTCAGCGCCCTCCACCAGAATCAATCTAAATGTCCAGCAATTTCAGTGTATCCATGTGATGTAATTCTATATAGCAATGCAAACAAATAAGCGATAGCTAACTACATGCAACAACACAGGCAAATTTTGAGCAAGACACACAAGAACATATATGATATGAGTCTATTTATGTAAAGTTCAAGACCAGGCAAAAACGACACTATCCTGCTTAGGAATACATATGAGTGGAAAAACTACAAAGAAAAACAGAATGTTGTTATTATAAAATTTATAATAGTTGTTTTCTCTAGGAGGAAAGGTGATGACATAATCGGGAAGAGAACCAATGGGTGCTGGCAATGTTCTAATTCTGGGTGGTGACCCATGAGAAGTCACTTGATAATTATTCAAATACATTATTTTTTGATAAACTTTTAATTTTAGGACTTTTTAGATTTATAGAAAAAGTGCAAGTTCTTTCTATTATTAACATCTTACATGAGTCTGGTATATTTGTCATAATTCATGAATTAATAGGGACATATTATTATTAATTAAAGTCCATGATTTATTCAGATGTCCTTGGTTTTTACCTAATGTCCTTTTTCTCTTCCAGGATCCTATCCAGGACACCACATGACATTTAGGCTTCTCTAGATTGTGATAGTTTCTCCTTGTTTTAGATGTTTTTCATGAGGATTGGTCAGGTGTTTTGTAGAAGGTTCCTCAACTAGGATTTGTCTGATATTTTTCTCATAATTAGAGTGGGGTTATGGGTTTTGGGAAGGAAGGCCACAGAGATAAAATACCATCCTTATCACATTGTACCAAGGGTATGTACCATGACCATGATGCACCCTGCTGATGTTGACCTTGACCTGGCTGAGGGAGTGTCTGTCATGTCCTCCACTGTAAAGTTACTTATTTTGTAACCCCTTTCCATACTGTTCTCTTTGGAAGAAAGTCACTATGCTCAGATCACCCTTAAGGACTAGGGTGAGACAGGAGGATCCCAGCCTTCCACTATGTCTCAGCCTGTTCCACCTCTTTGAGGACTCTACCCAAGTTATCTGGAATCCAGTTATTTGGAATTCTCCTGTATGGAGGTTTGTCTGGCCTCCCCCATTTGTTTGTTGATTATTTATAAATATCATTTACTTATGTCAGTGTGAACTCATGGACATCTATTTACTACTTTGACTGGGTTATAATTTAATGCTACTGTGTTTATTTTGCTGCTGTAGCCACGGGGAGCTCCTTTCACACACTCCTTCGTTGTGTGTGTTTCTTTTTGGGCGCTTTCTTACCTTCTGACACAGCAAGATGTTCCAGGATCATTTGTTTTGCCCTAGACTTAGAATCAGCCATTCTCCAAGAAACCTTGCTTCTTTTTATTGAAGGATGATATTAGACTCCAAGGTCTGAGTGTGAGGTGCAAATACATTATATTTTATGTATGTTTTTCTTCCTTCCTTCCTTCCTCCTTCCTTTCATTCATTCATTCTTTCCTTTCTTCTCCCTTTCTCTCTCTCTTTCTCTCCCCTTCCCCCTTTCTTTCTTGACAGGGTCTCACTTCGTCACTCAGGCTGGAGTGCAATGCTGTGATCATAGCTCACTGCAGTCTCAAGCTCCTGGGCTCAAGCAATACTCCCATCTCAGCTTGCAGAGTAGCTGAGATGATAGGCATATGCCACCATGCCTGGCTAATTTTTTATTTTTTGTAGAGATGGGGTCTGCTTTGTTGCCCAGGCTGGTCTTGAACTCCTGGCATCAGGGGATCCTCCTGTCTCAGCCTCCCAAAGTGTTGGGATTACAGGCGTGAGCCAGCACACCTGGCCAGTGCACATTGTTCAATGTTACTTCATAATGAAAAGTGAAAAATGGAAGGAACTCTTTTGAGTCGAACTTAGCTCCATCCCTCTGAAATTGCTCTCAGTAATAGTGGAAAGCCAATACTATGTCCTCTTACACAACTGCCTCATCAATATGACGTGGGGATTAGAAACATGGTCCCTGGGTTTAATATTAATATTTGATTTAATATTCAACTCCACCACCTGCTTGCTGTGTGATCTTGTCAAAACCCTCAACCTCTCTGAGCCTCGTTGTACTTAATCTGTTAAAAGACAATGTCCATCTCACAGATGAGTGAATATGATGAAAAAACTCAGTGGTGAAGATTAAATAAGATAGTAGTTGGAACACATTCAGCACAGCACCTGGCTTGGTAGAGAATACTGGTCTAATTAAATATAGAGAGACTGAGGTTTCATTCCTTCCACTTCTCCTTCCCTACTTCCTTTCCTGTGGGCTAAATCAGCCCAGCTGTCCCTCCAGAAGGCCTTTCTTCTGGGACCATTTCCCGTTCCACATGGCATGCTCATTGTTGCTGTTTTAAGGGCATAAAGGACTCAGTTTGTGAGCATCAGTACCCATCAAAATACAACCCACGTTAATGTGGACATTAGAGCTTCTGACTAATTTAGCCAGACAAATGTGTTTCCCATATTTCATTTTGAGTTCTGAATGAAATCAAGCATTTTCCAGTAAGAAACTACAATCCTTATGAAAAAGAGTCTGGAAAGAAAAATTCAAAGACTTTTCTGGAACCTGTTTCTGCCGCTCAGAGTTGATGTAAGCTGGGAGAGAGGGGACGGTGACTCTCTTGGAGACAGTTGTCATGTTCAAACGTGAAAAGAACCAATGCCAGATGGTAATTATCCCATTAAAAAGCAGTCTTCCAGGGACTAATGCTCAAAATAAAATTGACAATTGTTTGTAATGAAATAAGTTCATTTCATCCCGGAAACGAGTAGCCTTTGTCTCTGAGACGATACAGTGAATTTGATGCAATTCTGTGCCTGATTCTCTCAGGAGGTAATTTCCTGTGGGGTTATGAGAAGGAATAAGTTGAAATGCTCAGAGTTATTTGGGACCCAAACCACATTAATGAAAGATCAAAGATGTGGTTACCAGCAAGGAAACTACCTTGCCAAATTTAGGTTGTATGTCTCAAGGAGAGGAATGGGAAAGAATGTAGAAGGAAGGTGTTTGTCCTGCCCCTGAAAAGCTTTGGTAGTCCCTGCAGTCAGAAACCAAAAACTGACAGATAAGCCTTTTCTGATGTTGCCTGTTGGAAA